TAGCTTGTGGAAATTTAAGTATTTTTTTCTTAGTATGATGGCTTGTTGAAGAGGTCTGATAATCTGCTGGCTGACTATTGGTTGGCGAAGAATGCTGTTCTGCTGACTGCTCTTGGAACTGCTGTGGACTGCTGTTGCTTGAACTGATGACGATAAGCTAAGAAATTCTGTGTTTTATACCCGAAAATAGCCCCTCTCTGTTCACATCAGAAACTTTTTTAGAATGAATTTAAACATTTTAATATATTACATATTATCCTGTTTTCATATTAGAATGGCATTGGCATGAATGTAAATTATTTTAAATCCTGTTTGTAATAATTTACATTCATATAGTGTAATTATAATATGAAAGCAATTTATGTTAGCAACAATTTAAATTCATTTTATGTAATTTGCTGTTGTACCTCTATGTACATGTTTCGACCGGTTTCTGTAAGGTAATGTCATTGCTTATATCAATTGTCAATATCACTACTTGTTGACTTAGGAATAGCATTTAGACTCTTAAATACTGATACTAGTTTACTAGCTTTTTCCACACCTAAACGGTTTCTTAGTTTACTGTGTACTAATCCAAAAGTTGAAAATAATCTTTCAATTCCTGCAGATGATCCTACAGCAGTAAACAGTTGCTTTACTAAGTAGAATAAATCAGATGATATATTTTTCTTTAATGACATCCACTATGTTAATGGAGAAATCTTTGCAACTTTTTGTTCTTCAAATAAATATTTTGAAAATGGTGCTCCTTCAGCTTGATAAGTTATGATTTCTGCCATTACAGTAGGATGATATGCATTGGTGTAGTTTAATGCTTCATCCATTTGTTCTTGATTTAAATATTTTCCTTTAAATCCAGGATCCAAAATATAACCAAGCAAATGATAAGGAGTTATAGCTAATTCAAATCGATTAGAAACTGTTTGTAAAATATCTGCATCAAAAACTTGGTTTTCAAAATACTTTTGTAAAGTTAACCAAATACTAGTTGCTTCACTTATTGTGCAATTATCTGACTGAAAACGATCCAATGCGCCTGCAATTTTTTTTAGTTTTATTAAATATTCATGAGCTCTATTTTTCATTGAAATATCTTCAACAGATGTAAGTATATCACTGAACTGCTGAACGGTTATCTGTACATATTTTATGAATTATTGACCAGTTTTCAAGGTACGATTCAATTGTATTCCAACGTACATCTTGGGGTAAAATTAGTTTCTTTCCACCTGCCATTTTCAGTTTTGCACTAAAAAAATGCGAATATTTGAGTTATTGATAATTTTTTTTATATAACTTTTAATACCTTTAACTTCAATATCTTTTGCTAAGAGATTAAGTAAATGAGCAGAACAACCATAGGTAATAATATTATTAACTGAAGTATCATCGTTCATGGCCAAATTAGATCTCATCTTATGCATGTTTGCAGCATTATCAGTCACTAGGCTTCCAACAATACAACCAAGATTTTTACAGTATTGTACTGATGAGATAGCTAAACTCTGTAAGTAATCCCAAGTATGACTATTGTCTTGAGTATCAATTGTATCAACTAAATACACAACACCGTCACTAATGTCAGTTACCCAAACACATACAATTGAATCATGATGTACATTTGACCATCCATCCAATGCAAGACATACCATTTTCCCATTCAACTTGTTTTTTAAATCAGCGTAAACATTATTTAATAGAGTTTCAGCAATATATTGTCGTGTAGAGGGTGTATAACCTGGCCGTAACATGTGTATTAACTTACAAAATTCAGGATGTTGAACAGCGATGAAAGGTGAATTTGTTCCATAGATAAAACGTGCAATCTGATTATCCAATTTTTTTGCATCTTCAACAGATGTCTTCACAACAAACTTATCCAGATGTAATTGTGGTTTAGAACTTGTTAACTTACGCTTCAATGTATTGTTCGGTATAAGGTCTGTTGAATAATCAGAATATTCTTCAGTTTGTGTAGAAATAATTGTACTAGTTGATCCTGTTGAATTAATATGATCACCAGAGTAATTACCCAAGCTATGATTTGATTTTTCAAACACTGGTTGATGACTGCATAAGGTATCTAAAACATAATTTGTAATTTTATTTATTATTTACAGATTTCCATAAATAAAAAAGTAGGTGTTTATTTAGGTAGGTACTAATTTTCAATTATATTTACTAAATACTAAATAGTATAAAGTAATATTAAAGTTGCACAGAAAACTAACTCAATCTACTTACTAGTAACTAGTAAGCAGTAGGATATAGGACCAAAATTATATAATAATATGATACAAAGTTCAAGTGGACATCAAAACAAATCAATCCTTAAATAATTTTTTTTTAAATAACTGATTGGCTGCAAAATGAACAAAATATAAAACTTTAAATATTTTATACCTTTATTCTAGTTGCTTGCTAAATTAATTTCATTATATGGTTTTATACTTAATAATCAAAAATAATACATACCAAAATCAGCTTGATCACATTGCCCTTCATCACTAGTACATCCTTTGCCAATGGCCCATCTTCACTTTCAACATACCCAGCACATCTTTTTGAAATGTGGTCTTTCATCCAGATTACTAATGCCGACATCTCTACCTTGCAATTTTTACAAACAGCTCTTTTACACTTCTACCCATTAATTTGAGTGAAATAGCTCCAAACGTTATCGCGTTTCCTACCGCCGTACGACATTTTATAACGATAAATATTTTAACAATGACGGCAGTCGGCAATAAGTTAAGACTTACACACTATTATAAACATGAGTGGAAAGTAACAAAAAAAACAGATGAAATTAAAACAATAAACGTGGTCTGTCGTCTGTGTGACTGACTAGTGAGTTGTATTGTTGTCACTTGTCAGTAATTACTAGTTGAGAATATTGTTGTGTACTTGTAATTTTCATAAACTGTAAAGTAGGTATTACTGTAGGAGCAGTTAGCAGTTAGCACTTAGCACACACTGGCGGAGTAGCGTCAGTAGGTAAATTTACTATTAAGTCACACAATATTACAATCATACCGCTAACCATTTTCTATTTATATCTCAATTGTTATTTGTTATCAACTGATAAATAATTTTACCGTAGAGAACTAGAGCGTACCGCGTATCGCGATTGTATACAGCACGGGCCACGGACTAAGATAAACTTTTAAGTTTTAACCGTGGTCTATACCATTTCTTTATCATTTTGGATTTGATAAAAACGTTTTAAACACGTTTAAAACAATTGAATAAAAACAGAGCATTTTAAAAAGAAATAAACAAAAAATCAGTTTAAAACCAAAAAAAAAACGTTTTTTTGTTTTTTTAAAAAAAAACACGAAACATAACAACTCTGGGTATACCTAATGTCTTGACAAATAATAATAATATCTATTACAATACAATGTTGTACACGAATGACGTAGGTAAATATGGGTACGTTAGGTTAGGTGGTTGTTTTTTATTATTATTATTATTATTATTATTGTGTGCGTACACGCCCAATACATAGCCACAAAGGTAAGTGTTTACGTATGCCGGTGTGTGTAATACTGGGTGATTCTTTTATCAAACAACACTCATTATTTCAAAAAGTGTAAATTTTTTTGAAAATATTTTTTTACATAGTTTCAAGTCGCTTATAAAACAACGTTTTTATTAAAAAATTATATTTTTAAATATTTTTTATCCTTATAATTTTTTAAGTTTTTTACTTTTTTGAATGACAACATAGGGTTTTAATTTTATATTCCAAAGTAGAATATTTTTCTTAGTATTTTGATACATGAAAATTGAATTTGGGTTGAGTAGTTTATGAGTTATAAGTATTTAAAGTTTAGACGAGCGGAGTGGAGTGGTTCGGGGTTACCCCTCGAAATGTTTGTCCACTTCACCGCTCGTCAAACTTTAAATACTTATAACTCATAAACTACTCGCCCCAAATTCAATTTTCATGTATCAAAATACTAAGAAAGATATTCTGCTTTGGAATATAAAATTAAAAAACTATGTTATTATTCAAAAAAGTAAAAAACTTAAAAAATTATAAGGATAAAAAATAATTAAAAATATAGTTTTTTAATAAAAACGTTGTTTTATAAGCGACTTGAAACTATGTAAAAAAATATCTTCAAAAAAATTTACACTTTTTGAAATAATGAGTTGTTTGATAAAAGAATCACCCAGTATAGTGGACGATTTAGGAGCGACACTCTAATACTACGCGCTATTACGACCGTTATTAAACGCAACACTGACGCGCTGTGTGCGTGGAGTGGTGCCGCTGGGGGACAACTTTGGCGACACGAAACGCGCCCGTGTCGACCCGCGTCATCTCATGACCGGCGCTCTTGCAACGCACATCAACTCTCTCAGAAAAGCCTGATACGTTGTATTATTATTCAATATTTCAGTGCTTTCCTTTGAGTTTTGTTGTTCTGCATTGGGCGCTTTTCACATACCGGTAAGTACAACTCTTATGTCTACTACTATATTGTAATATCCAGATAAACTACAGATGTATTCGTGGCAGCGCGTATCGCGAAAGAACATGATATTTTCACCACCTACGTTTTCCGCTGGCCATCATGGCGCGTTTCGTGATTTTTTCGCGCAAATGTACTTTGAATACCTAACACTTTTTTATATCCGCATTCGTATCCGCCGTATGTAGTCGACGTGTAAGTCCGTTAGCAGTTTCGGAGCGTTACCATCGCGGTACCGATATGATGATGATCATATCTTTGTATATGGATAGGTTAGTAAATGTGTTATTAGAAAATACTTATACAAGAAATACATAGGTAGGTACCAGTACCAAAATTTAAAGCCATCTATTATAATATGTAAGTACTAAATTCTAATATTTTTTTACTTTTCAACAGGAATAACTGTATTTCTCCAATAAATCAGTTACTATGTACTCTTCGCTATTATGCAACTGGGTGCTTCCAAACCACTGGGGGGGGGGGGATCTCTGTGGCTTTAGTTCCTCAACGATGAATAGAATAGTACACAAGGTTAGCTGTGCTATTGCGCTTCTACGTAGTCAGTACATTAATTTTCCTGATAACCCAGAGGAAATTAGACGGACACAGTTGGAATTTTACCGAAGAGCCAAGTTCCCGAGAGTTGTTGGTGCCATTGACTGCACTCATATTAAATTATGGCAATCACCAAGTAACTTCCAATACTTATCATGCCTTTTTACTAGTACTAGTCATAAACTCAAATTGTTCCTAAACATTGTGGTCCTTATAAGCACTAGCAAACACAATATAACAGATAATCATCAGACCCCCTTGAGCCTTTAAAATAAAAGTAAATTACAAAAACAAAAATGTTTGCTATATATCAGATATATTTTATTAGTGACATAGGCGCCAGGTTTTCAAAAATCTATTTAGTGCTCTTACCAATGTCAAGTATTCATTAGGGGCTCTTCCTCTCTCACTCCCTATACTAAATTGTCTATAAAGTGGCAACAAAACATATTTACAATACAATATAATACAATACAATACAATACAATTTATAAATATTGAGGGGGTAAACTTTAAGTTTAAAGGTGTTAAAAACCCCTGTGATTTAAGCCTATGATAGGTACTAGTAAACAGAGCTTTCTAAAGGTAATTTGAATTTTTGAATTAAACATAAGTGGTCATTTTGATTTTTAGGTGGAGATACTGCAGAGCGTTTTAGGAATAGAAAAGGGTACTATTCATTGAATGTCCAGGCAATATGTAATGCAAATCTGGAGGTTATGGATGTAGTTGCAAGGTATGATGGAAGCACTCATGACTCAAGAATTTTTCGAGAAAGTAAAAGAAGAGCTTTGTTCGAGCAAGGAGTGTATGGAGATGCACTATTAGTAGGAGATAGTGGCTACGCCTGCACTAGTTACATGATGACACCACTCCACGAATGCTATACACCAGCCGAACAATTGTACAATGAGTCGCAAATCCGGACGAGGAATCCCATAGGAAGATTCTTTGGTGTTTGGAAACGACGTTTTCCCATCATGGCTTTGGGGCTAAGAGTGAAACTTATACGTGTTTTTCCTATTATCACTGCGACATTAGTTTTAAATAACATTGCCCGTAGAGCAGGAGAGGAAGTCCCTAGAGGACTTGAAATTATACTACCTGCTCCTTGGGAAGAAATACTTGCCCAGGACGACATCCCAAATGAATATATGGACATACCAAACCCCACACAGCGTAGGGTAAAACACCAAAATCGTGAACGGCAGGTGTTATTGACAGTCATTTTGAGAGGTAAATGAAAATTATATATACCTATACCTATAGTATACCTGTATATTTATTAAATACTAACTATTTATTTGTTTATTTTGTTGCATACTCAGATTGGCTGCACAGGATCAACAATAATACTTCCGTCACGAGTTGTAATATAAATATGTTGTAATACATACATTTCATGTGTATACATATTTATTTTTTTTTTTTTTTGTGTATTTATTATTGTTAACTGTCTATTTATAATATTAAAATAGAAATCCAATACACTACTCAACTTTTGTTTTATTTAATCAATTCGTAACTTGTATTAAAACAAATTTATTATATTTCAACTTGACATGAAAAAAAAGAGGATTTTAGAAAATTGAATAAATAATGAAAGATTTTAATTAAAATCTATACGACTGAAACTAGAGTATGATTAAAAAATAATAGTAGATAATTGTACGCAATATATATTTATTTAATAAGTTCACCAAAATTATAATATATTATAATGTATACATGTGTACACAATTTAAAAAATAAAACAATTTTTTCACTCAAATTAATTTGAAATGAAAAAACAACAACTGGTAGTTAAAATTTTAAAAACAAATAATATAAACAAGAACACTTAAAAATTTTCATCTTCTAAATTCGATCAAGGAGGAAAATCCGTCACTGGATCACCGTTGGAAGACTGATCACCTGCCAACAACTCCGAGAAGAATCCTGTACAACTTCATACTACAACTACTACAATCAACATCAGTCAAATGGAAGCACCCGCAGTACCCATGTACATGAAGTTGGCCCCCCCACTTTGTCCGAATGACTTCAAAATACCACCAAATATTTGCAAATTAATTGCAAATAATTGCAAATCGAGTTTCATTAATTGCAAATCCCCCAGTTTTGAGTAAACTCAAAATCAAAATTGGGGGGGCCAACTTCATGTAGCCCCCCCACTATGTCCGATTCGTTTCAAAATACCGGTAAATAATTGCAAATTAATTGCAACTAATTGCAAATCGAGTTTGGCTAATTGCAAATCATTTTTTGTATTTTTTACGAATTTTTAAATTTTTAGCCAGCCCCCCCACTTTGTCCGATTCGTTTCAAAATACCGCCAAATAATTGCAAATTAATTGCAACTAATTGCAAATCGAGTTTGGCTAATTGCAAATCATTTTTTATATTTTTTACGAATTTTTCATTTTTTTAGCCAGCCCCCCACTTTGTCCGATTCGTTTCAAAATACCGCCAAATAATTGCAAATTAATTGCAACTAATTGCAAATCGAGTTTGGCTAATTGCAAATCATTTTTTATATTTTTTACGAATTTTTCATTTTTTTAGCCAGCCCCCCACTTTGTCCGATTCGTTTCAAAATACCGGTAAATAATTGCAAATTAATTGCAACTAATTGCAAATCGAGTTTGGCTAATTGCAAATCATTTTTTGTATTTTTTACGAATTTTTAAATTTTTAGCCAGCCCCCCCACTTTGTCCGATTCGTTTCAAAATACCGCCAAATAATTGCAAATTAATTGCAACTAATTGCAAATCGAGTTTGGCTAATTGCAAATCATTTTTTGTATTTTTTACGAATTTTTCAATTTTTTAGCCAGCCCCCTCCTCCACTTGGTCCAATCTATCTATTTGTTATCTTAGAAAACATACTTACTTACCTAGACACATTTTATTTAAATCGTATTAATATTTTTTTTTATTAAAATTGCTTTATCAGAACACTATCCAATTAGTACATATTATTACTAAATGACTGCATGCACCTATTAACTATTAGTTACTTTATGTTCAAGTAGGTAAAGAAATATATTTGTTATTTGAGTATAATACAAATTAGTTTTTTCTACCCACCATATTACTATCTAGATAAAAGTTATCTATCTAGATAAATGTAAAATGTATTCATCAATTATCATTATCTGTAGCTAGACAAATGTATATACAATTATCTGTATCTTATCTAGATAAATCGTATCGTAACCTATATCATTGTTTATTCTCAACACTATATGTAACCACACAGATTATTCTATTCCATTCAATTATTGGTTGTTAATTTTTAATATTACCATAAGTTGTTTTTTTCTATAATATATAATTAGTTAGTAGCAGGATTAGGTAAATTAAAATATAAATATTTGTAAAATTACAATTTGTATCAAAACATTTTAAATTTTATTTGTGTTAAATTCAATGTGATATTACTCTTCCAGAATGTATATAAGAAGATGCGGGTTTACTTTCGTTTTTTCTGGGTTGATATTAGATTTAATTTTTTTTTGTAGGTCGTTATGTGTTTCCCATACACCATTGAACCTTCTTATATGGGACACATAATGACTATATCCATGAGCTATCACTCCATGAAGTATATAACTGAAACATCAAAATATTAATTTTAGGATTGTACATTTGTATATATAATATATATATATATATATAAGGATGTCGTATAACAGTGATATGACCTAACTTTATTTTCTTCAGAATGAAATATTTTAAAAGTGTGCGACTTATAAAGCATAAAATTATATTGCTATATAAATAATATTATGTATTTTAACATGTTTCAGAAAAAATTTAATACTTATCTATTTAGTAATTACTGTTTTTTAATATAATATTATGACTTATTGTCTTTGACTTTTTTACGCCCATGTCAAACCTTATATAAATAAATATATTTTAGTCTATAATTGTATTATAAGTATTCTATAACTTACGTTTTTGCATTCACTTTTAGTTTTGTAGGAAATTCTGATATCCTAAATTGACTTTTATCCGCAAATACATCTGTCTCGATGAAGACGTGTTGACATAAATCCTTTGTTGATGAAGCATTTTCATCACATTCCAGGCACACGTTCTTCGTAACGTTTAAATATTTTTGGAGACTCGTCTCTAGAGTCTTAAATCCATCCTTAAGTCTTACAATAATTGTTGGAGAAGGTACAATTCTAATCACACTTTTACAGTTAGTATTATTACATTCGATATGTTCATAAGCTGATGCAGCATCTTTTAAAAGACTCGTCACTATAAATAATACATTACAAGTACAGTCTATGATATTAACACCTGTAATTCCTGTGTCTTCTTTAAAAATTGTTTTTAGAATTTTTAGTCGCTCTTTCTGAATAATAGCTGATGTATTTGTTGTAACAAGTTTTTTGCAAAATTCCAAAAATTGGTTTTTACTCTTATCTATAAAATTTTTATAAAAGGGATTATCCAAATATGCCATAGCTATAACTGTTGAAACCGAATCAAATGAACAAGTGTTATTTACAATATATCTATTTTTATTTATACGTATTGGTGTTGTAGTGTTACCATAATAAAAGTGTAGTCTTGTTTGACCTCAAGTTTCGAATGCTCAGAATTTTTTCGATTTCCGGTATACTATCCATATACTTGGTATTTCTTTTTCTTATTTTATTAGTTGAAGATTTCAAAGTCGGATTTCTTGACCTTTTCCTTTCCAATTTTCAAAATAATCATTATCAGATTTTTTTGAATCATCTTCATCGCCATCACTTTCCACCATACTATTGTCTTCATTATCTACTAATATTTTTGAAAATTCTTCTTCGCCATCACTTCCTACCATACTTTCGTCTTCAATATGTTCTAATGTTTTTGAAAATTCTTCCTCGGCATTACTTTCAGTCATAATATTATTTAAAATTATTGTTTTTCCATTATCTTCTTTTCCATTATTTTCTATTATACAATTTACGTCGTTGCTACCCGATACATTTTCAGCTATGATTTTGTTAGATGAGAATAAAATGTTTTCATCGTCAGAAATATTTGAAAACAAATTTATTGGTAGTGATTTTTTTTTTTATCTCTTATTTGCTCGCTACGAAATATTTTAGTGTCACTGTTAATACTATTGATATGCTTTATTACGAATCGATCTACTGACATGGGACGCCGATCGAACCGTAATATTTGATTTTTTGGCTCATTGAAACTACTTTCTACTGGAGCTGATGTTGCAATTAAAAAAAGGAGAATCAAAAATAGTTTTCATTATTCCAGTGCAAAGTGGAAAATCGTAACACAGTCGTTGTATATATTTTCCTAATTCTGGTAAACAATAAGCTGACATTCGATTTCCTTCAACTGATGCATTCGTCTTACCTTCATTTTCAATACAATTAATATACTTCATGATACCTCGGTCATGGTTTAAGATTCCATCGTTTTCAACAAAAATATCATAACTTTCGTCTCCGTCATCATCTATTGTTTCAAAAGTATCATTGGAAATCCCTTTCATCAACGAAAGCAAATAATTTCTGGATTTTTCCGCAGGAGTTTCAATAGCTTCATCATTCATTAGCCAACCATCTGTTTCACTAAAAATTACAGTAAATATCGCACATAATATTTCTTTAAATGAAGTTAGCGTAACAGAAGTCAACAGAAGACGTAATGCTCGAACATAGAATTCTTTTAAATATTTGTTTTTAATTCCAATAAGACATTTAATACGACTAAATAATTTTACCATGTGTGAAACATCAACACGTAGAAAACAAGTAGGCAACTCTAAAATATGACCATTAAGAGCTAAAAAACATTTGTCAATATAAGAGTGAAGACTGGAACTGTTAGAAAATGCTTTAGCCATCGCACCTAGAAGAGCTCTAGAGTAGTCAGATACTGCCTCATTTGGTTTTTTCACTTCAGATTTTAACCATTGTCCAAGCCAATAGTATATAGTTAATGTATCATGTCTTTCAGATAACATTTGAGTGATAGGAATTTGTCCAAAATCTGTATGAACTACAGCCATATACAAAAATATATCTGATGATGTTAAATTTAAGGAGCTTCTTTGGATTTTTTTTACCACACTTCCAGTAGCATCAATACATATACGACAATATGATTTAGATACATCTTTATAAATCACTAACTGATGATTTGTCCAATTGAGTAAGAGAAAGGGGTCACAACCTATACTGTGGATTGACCCTGAATGAATTGAATTATGTTTTAATTCTATGACTGATTTTATAGGGCATTTTTCTGTTATCCCCAATACGTTATCACTATGCTGTTGTTTAGCCTTACTGAGAACATTATTGCTGTAAACATTTGGTGGTAAGTCACAGCCAAATTTTAAGTTAGACACAC